TTGTGTATGATAAGAACCACAATGGAAACAAACAAGGGGCTGAACAGAAAATTAACAGGGAGGGGATCCAAATCTGATCCAGGGTAGCCTCTCTTGGGGAAACGGTACCAGTGGAAGTGTCTGCACACAGTAGGAGCTACAAAATAGGAACTCTCTTACTGAGGTTCCCCTGTGCCTTGGCTTCCAGCTCCTGCATGCCCCCCCAGCTCCAAAGAGCCAGCCCCCTGGGGTGGTGAATGGAGAAGGAGCAGGGAAGGGTGAGGGGCCATGCCTACACACCCTGGAGGAGGGAGCGGGGATCTGCCACGGAGACCTTCGGAGACCATCCCAAGACATGTGAGAGGTGAAGTGGGGGCAGGTAACGGGCTGCAACCTGCAGCCTTGAAGTGTGTGCAGACGGGTTTCGAAATTCGGGTGTTGTCATTATGAGCCTTTTGATCATGGCAGAGTATGTGTCCCATCTCTAAAATGGGATAACAATACCTAGCACAGAGGATTGTGAAGACGAATTAGTACAGAATGATTTCTGGTACATAGTGAGCACTCAATGCATGTTAGTGATAACAGTGAATATAATGACTACAGAATGGGCCCTGTGGATACTGCAGAGACAAGGACAAGTCCCTGCTCTTGCAGAGCTTTCATCATAGTGGGGAAGATAGACGATAAATAGGGAAGCCAAAATAATGAGTAAGAATTTCAGAGGGTGATAGCTATGAAGATAATGAAGAAAATAGGAAGGAGTGGGAACAAGACTTCTTGAGATAGAGAGAAGTCAGGGAGTGTGCCTCTGCACTGAGACCTGAATGAGGGGAAACAGACAAAGGAGGGAGATGATCAAGCTTTCCCAGTAGAGGGTGCAGCTTGTGCAAAGGCCCTGTGATGATAAAGAGCTTGGCATGTTCACAGAGAAGGCCAGTGTGGCTGGAGTGCCATCAGAGGCTGACAACTTTGGAGGCCAGAGTGAGAAGGGTTTGTTCTTGTTGCAAAGACAAAACTGATGGGCCTTTTTTAAGGGTTTGATTTTTAATGAGATCATTCTGTGTATTGAATAGGCTGGAAGGGACAGAATCAGAGGCAACAAGACTTGTGGTATGATGGGGACAGAGGCCAGTTAGGGGACAGATGACAGGGACTTGGGCTAAAGCTGCAGAAGTAAGATAGTGAAAGGTGGCCGAATAGAGGATCTAGTGAAAGGTGAGGCCTGTTAGAACAAGCTGTGACTTGGATGTAGGAAGTGAAAGAAAGGAGAAGACCCAAGGTTTTGACGCCAATTAAGTGCCATTACTAAGACGTAGAAGACTAGGAGCCAGCTGGGAGGAGACCAAGAATTCTGAGTGTTGACAGGTCACGTTCAAGGTGCCTGTTTAACCTCCAAGTTGGGGAAGGGGTTGAGCAGACAGTTGGATATGAGAACCTGGGCCTGAGAGAAGTCATTGGGTGAGGTAAGGGGGATGTGGGAGCCTCGGACCCCTCGCATATGCAGAGAACAGGAAGAGGAAAGGGCTCAGTCTGATGGGAAGACATGGAGTGTGATGTCAGGAGCCCTGGGAGAAGGGGTTCCAGCTCCTGACAGGTCAGGGGAATGGGGTGGGGGTTGCTGGGGCGGGTGAAGGCCCCACCACCGCTGCCAGTGGGTGGAGGGGAACAGGGAGTGAGAAAGCAGAGCTGGCAAATGCTGGAGTGCTTTCAATGTTTGCTGTAAAGTAGAGCAGAGAATTAGGGCATCTGGATGGGGGGCAGAGGACAGTGTGTGTGTGTGTTTGAGGTGGATGAGGGGCCATTAAAGAAACGGAGAAGACAGAGGGAACCATGGCGGGAGAAGAGGGCAGAGTGGGATTTGGAGCCGGGTGGAGGGAGGTGGTGGAGCAGGGCAGGGCAGCTCCCTCTGGAGACAGTCCAAAGGGGCGGGTGTGGGGAGAAGGACAGGGAGAGAACGAAGTCCTCACCCTAGGTCAGGCAAGACTTAGGTGATGGATAAGGCTCACACCGCTGTTACAGGGGCCAAGTCAGGGCCAGGCAAGGGATGGACACTACGTGAGAGCTGGGGGTATATTTTTCAATGCTGTTTTTTCCCTTTTCTCGGGAGGAGTCCAGGCCTTGTGATTCCATCAGGATCAAAGCTTCCTGGAGGCTCTGGGCTCCCTCCCTCAACCAAAGTCCACCAACTTTGGCTAAAGTCCTGGGCTCAGAGGGGCCATGCGGTGGCGTGTCTCCAAAGGCAGGGACCCTCCCTGCCCTGGTGCTCACTGCTATCCCCACACCTGGGCTGGGGGTGGGGGCACCGGAGGCCACGGGCTTGACGAGAAGACAAAACCCAGGTTTCCAATGGGAATACCCAAGCTTAAGCTAACCTGCCTGAGTTCACACAGGGTCCAGAACTGCGGGTTCTAAAATGGTGGTCTTTTTCTGACACAGTTCAGGGCACCTAGGACTTTGGGGTTGAGGGGGAGGGGTTGGCAGTCTTGCTCTCTGAGATTTGAATCCAACTCTGAAAATCGCTGTTTTAGGTGCCTACCTCTCAGAGGATTTGGCTGCCAAACCCCCAGGCACTTCTTCCCAACCCAGCCGCACACCCTCACAGGATGTGTGAGGGGAGGAAAAGGTACCACTGCAATGGGTGGGCCGTGATCTTTAGCTGGAACTAAAGAGAAAGGGAGCTTTGAGGGTGATGCCAGGAGACTGTCCTAGGGGAGCCCTGTCCCCTTTGAAGTGACTTCCCTGTGCCCCCACCTCCAACACATACTTTCTTCCCCTCACTGCAACCCCTCCCCTAACACCCACACCCCCAGGAAGTATACCCACTGCCCACACCTGCACCTCTGGCCCTGCTGTATGCAGCTTTGGCTCCACAACCAGCCAGCCCCCAGGCAGCCTCTCCTTGCCCTCCCTCCTCTATTCCACTCCAAATCCACGGGCTGAGGTTTTTGAGCCAAGGAAGTTTCTCCTGAACCAGTAAGCCTGGGCCCGGTGGTGTGTGTCTTCTCCTCCCCACTGGAGCACACCCCCCAGGGCAGGCCTAGTGGGCTGCGGATCCTCTCATTTCCCTACCGCCTTGACCCCTGCCCAGCCCTGACTCTTCCCTGTCTCTCCCAACCACTCCACCATCAAATGTTTAGATCCAGGAACTTCACAGGACAGTTTTCATTAACGAGATGGCCCCAGTAGCTCCCTTCCATAAGCTCCGGCCAGAACCCCCACCCCCAGCTCAGATGACACTTGGTGTTCAGCCTTGGCTTTCAGAGCCAGAGGGCACCAAAGACACCCTCCCATTTCTCCTTAGCCTGGGAGCTAGAGTCTCAGAGATTCTGCCTGGATTCTACCCCCAACCAGGCTCACTCCAGGTATGCACTCCAGGTGAGCTAATTTTCAAAATTCGAGGACCAGTGCTGCTTCTACCTCTGGCTTCTTGATACAGATTTCTAGCTTCACACACACATAAAATGTCTTGAGTCTTTACTTTCCCACTGAGATGAACACATTTCTGAACTGGTAAACTAAAGATGCCATTTGTTTCCTTCTGAACTGAGAGCCTCAGAGCTGAAGTTCAGTCTGCCAGCCTCTGGGAGGAAATCAGGCAAGTACGTCAGGACCCGATCAAAATGTTCATCCACGTTGCCCCAGTAAGTATCATTTCTGGGAATGTATCTTAAGGAAAAAAATACGAAATATAGGGGGGAAAGCCAACACATAAAGATATTTATTGCAGCTCTATTTATAGCTAAAATAAAATGCATATATATAGAAACAAACATCCAACAAGAAAATGCAGCCATTTTTTTAAAAAAGTATTCTACATCAACACTGAAAAGTACTGAGAAAAAAGTAGGATAAAAGTTAAATATACATTTACAATTTTGTAAAGAAAATTAAAAGTGCCCATGGGGAAAAAAAGAAGCCTGTTATTTTCTCCTTTTTCTCAAAATTTCCCCTTATAATTTCTTCCAAAGCTGCCAGCAAAGTGATGTAGCCCTAAACCTCCCCCAAAGTCTAACGTACGAAAGAAGCCTTGAATAACCCTCCCTGAAGATAAAACACCATTGGCCGGACCCGCTTGGCACTTAGGAAATGGAAACGTAGCGTGGAATGCCTGGGGGGCTCAGAGAGGAGACGTGATGGGAAAAGCCCAACTCTTCTGTGTTCGGATCAGTCTCTTAGATGGGAGGACAGGGAACTAGTGACTTTCTGGCCAAGAATTACGAGGACAAAGGGGATGTGGTGTGTAAATGGGCTCTTTCAACCACAAGGCACCGTCCACTTGCAAGATGGTACCGAGGAGGGGCAGGTCAGCCAGCAGGCAGCAGACCCGGGGTTCAGAGGAGGGTTAGCAGTAGTTGTCCAGTGCCTCTAACTGCCCAGGGCTCCCCTGTCCTCAGGGTGGCCCCTGCACTGCTGGTCAGGGGCGGAAAAGGGCCTTCCTTTTGCGGAGCTGAAACAGGCCACCTTCTGCCACCTGGCCCGCTTCCGCCTGCCACACGGAACTACCCAGAATCATCCCCGCCCTTTGGGCTCACCCTGTCACTGTCTGCAAACATCTATCAAGTCTCCCTTTTTTCGGCCAAATGCCTGGGTCCCTTGCACAGTCCAGGCTGCCCACCACCCTGCTGCTCTCCTCTGGATGTCCTTCTGTGTTGGAGAAACCTGCCCCTACAGAGGGGAACTGTGCCCATAATGAAAGCCCTCTGGCTTGTCTGACACTGGCACCCAGCCCTCTCCTCTCTCCGCTCTAGTCTGTACGTTTCTCTTGCTTAGCCCTGGACAGAATCTGCTTTTCCAGCAACCCTGCCGCACTCTAACTGATCTGTGAGTTTCAAGTCAACCAAACCACCATCCCACTTTACAGTCCCTGTTGAATGTTCAGGCAGGTGATGTCTTAAGGGAGGAACTGCGTTGTCTAGACCCAACCTGGGCACTTAACCCCTCTGAAGAAGGCTGCAAACAGTCATGTCAGGGGAAAGGAGACGCAAGACAAAAGGACATTATTACGGTGCTTTTTTCCGTTTTTCTTTTTGCACAAAAACAGTCCATTTATTCAAGTGTTCTCCAGCACAAGTACATTAGAAAGGAGCTTTATTATATTCTTCTGGGCACAAAAAAAAAAAAATGTGATGAAGGCGGAACTGACAGACTTTCTACATCTGCTGTACGCATTGACCTCTTTATAATTATTTCATAAACAGCTATGTCACAAGCATCACTTACACAGAGATACAACAGAACACCGGGGCACAGGGGTGGGGACCCGCGCAGGGCCCTCTCGCACACGCCCCTCCCTGATGTCCCAGAACCAGACTGTGAAATGTACATTATTATTGTCAATAAATAGAGAAGCAACCCTAAAAAAAAATACAGTGGTGAAAGGATGCTGGAACCAGGAAGGAAAAAAAAAAAACAAACAAAAAAAACAACCCAGCAACAACAAAGAGAAGAGGAACTGAAGAGAAAGGAAAGAGGGCTGGGGAGGGAAGGGTCCGGGGAGTAAGTCCTGCATTTAGCTGCGTGGAATGTGCAGTAAAAGTGTTCTCCCGCCGGGGTCAAAGCGAAATCGTCTGTAACAGTAAAAGTTATTACCAAATCAGCTACGGAGTTTATTCTTCAGTATGAATACATGATTTCCCACAAATAAGTAAGCACCCGCTACTTCAATGCCTCAGCTAAAACACATGAAATCGCTCATTTAGTTTTCAAGTACAAAGTTAAAATGCCTTTTTAATAATAATATATCAGAGTAAAATAATAGTCTCTTTTAAACTCCACTACAAGAAAACAAAACAAACAGTCATTGTCCAGACAGCAGACTTAATTTAACAATATATATTTTTAATAAAATGTTTTAGCACCTTGTTGAGTCACCTCCTCCCTCTGCGTATTCTAAGGAATTTCGGCATTTTTGTGGTTGGTTGGATTCTAGGGCTGTGCAACCAAATCAGTCTGTGAAGTGAAATGGGACTCGGGTGATGCTTTCGGATCCCTGCTCATGTCCTCAGGCCGGGGCTGGAGGCCAGAGACTGGAGGTTGAGGAAGCCGCCCTCCCACGTCCCTTGCGGGGGAGAGATTGGGGGAGTTTTCCAGTTACTGGAGTTACAGGAGTCTGCGGGCATCCGTCTGGGCAATTTAGCCGGTCACTAGCCAAGGGACCTTCCATCCTTGTCCTCCCTGCTTTTGACCTGCTTGTTTCTCCCTCTCCCCAAACGCTACTGCCAAGGGTCAGCGGTGAGCAGGTGGTCACTAACCACAGCCCCACTCAGCTGGGTGGATCTCTGAAACATGGACAGGAGGGGCTGCCCTCACTTCCCGAAGACCCCAGCCTTCCTTTACCAAAACGTAAAGATTTGAGAGCTTCTGCTAGAACGGCGGAGTCTATCCTTGATAGAAATCTATCCTTTCCTCCAAACACTCGCGGTTAGTCCCTGTCTCAGCAGGGAACGGCCGGGAAGGCCATCCCAGCTCCACGCCATCCCTCCAGAGGTGGAAGAAAGGCTTCAGCTGCCTCCTGCCAGAGGGCAGGACAACTCCAGTGTCACCTCTAATCACAAGTGCTGGACAGGTCCAGACGAGACCACACCTGATGACCAGTTCAGATTCCTCCCCTCCTGGGATCGAAACGGGGCCTGGCTAGAAACCCAGTTCTGACCAGCACCTTGGCTCGGCTGCTACTTTGACCACAGGAAACGACCAGCCCTCATGGTGCCAGGCAGGCCCCATGGCCCTAACCCTACAAGCTTCCTGAAAACGACACCTCTGAACGACACCAGTGCCACAGCATCTCTGCACAAAGCGGAGCAGCAACAGGAATTCAAAACTGCCTTTGAGACCCACTTTATATATACTTGTATCATCAGAGAGATGAAGGCTACCCATGGCAGTTTTCCCAAAGAACCTTCCCCAGATGGCTCTGCTGAGATGGTCCCTCCCTTGCTCCTGTTACAGACCTTCCCACGCTGGATATGGTGAGTTATCCCCATCCAGACGTCCCCAGAATTGCCGGCTAAGTGGCAAGTATGGGGAGCTGGTCCTCATTAGACAAGTTCAGTGTCCACCAGCCCACCTCCCTGCCGGGTCTGCCTGTCCCAATCTGCACCCTAGTGACTCACCAAAAACTCACACAGGCACCTTTGCCAGCCAGCCACTCCCAGGACTGTCTCAAAAGCTAAGCAGTCCTGGATGCTCTTTTGGGAAGTTTGCTTCCTAGTAGAACGTTCAATAGCAGGAAGGTACTGGGGTCTAGAAAGAAAAGCGGACAGTGCACACCCAGGCTGTCATCCACCAACTGCAAGACCGTCATCACCCGCTGCCTCCCAGCCTACTGCTCTTCAGTCATTCGCTGGGGAAGGGGATCAGCACCAGCCAGCTGGAGACTAGCTTCCTCCTCGGGCAGGTGACCCAGGGCTGTGCATCCCACCTGAGCCCCCGGCTACCTCCCCCAGACAAGAGCCACAGATCTCTTTGGCACCGAACTCCACTTGGCACCTGTAGGCAGATGGGGGCATCATCCTCAGGCCCTCATTCTCAGGGATTTGTAAATGGGCCTGCTCTTTAGAAAGAACACCCCACTGGGAACACACTCCAGATTTTTCCCTAGGCCTTCTTGGTTTCTCCCGCCCTACTGCCTCTACCTTCAGCCTCACACGCAGAATCCTCCACCTGAACCTTAGCACGATCTTGCCTCAGCCTGTCGAAGCACAGCTCCCTTTTAGGTGACCAGATTCCTGTCCCCAGAAGCCCCCCAGGGTTGGAAGTAGATTAAGAACACCCCAGCATGACCACGCTGGCACATTCCCGAGGCCCCCTGCACCCTACCAAGTTCCACTGTGGGACCAAGCCCACGGGTGTGGCTGGAGGAAAAGCTGGTGATTGTTAACTCTCATCCCTCCGAGGGTGCATCTGGCCTGTTCTGGGGCCTAGTCAGGTTGCTGGACCTGGAGGAACATGTGTTAGTCGCCAACAACCAGGCCTCCTCTGAGCAAGCTGGCAGACCCACACTGACCCTCAGGCTTACCACATCCTTGGCTACCAAGTTTCTTCCCCACACCAACCCCTGGGTGGAGCTTGGGCCATGGGGAAAGACAAACTCCTGCACACATGCAGTGGACAAAGGCCTAGGAGAGCCAGAAGAGCTGGGAGGTCTGTTTGCAGAGGAAGAGGCTCTGTCCTGACACTGGGGCTGGGAAGACCTTAGCGCTGGCCGGCAGGGGAGGGAGCACCTTGGACTGCCTGTGGCAGCCCTCCTCCCCCAGCCCTCCTAGAGTGGTGCCAGTGGGCTCCCCAGGAAGATGGAGCTGGGCTGGAGGAGGGGGCAGGGCGAGCACCACAATTAGGTACAGACTCCAACAAGGGAGGGGTAGAGGGATCCCCCAAGCTGCTCCAACCCTGGGGGGCCCACCGGCACCACCTGCCATCACAGCACGGAGCTGGCAGGAAGCAACTGGGTATGATCTTAAAAACCAATCTGACAAGGAAATGAGAAGCTTGGGGTCTGGGACTAAGCCCCCTTAACAGGAGCAGGAGACCATGGCCACCAGTTGTGAACTTATTCCTGAGCAATGAGCAAGGGATTCAAAGCTTGGTTTAGTTTTGTCACAATTACCAATTTGATTTATTCAAAAGGTGAGGTTCACTGTCCCATTTCTTTTTCCAATGGAAGCCCCCTAGCCAAGACAGCCCTGGACGTCAATTTCATTTTGGTCGGGGGAGAATAGGTAGGGGGAGTCGAGGGCGGACTTGACGGTGCCTAGGGTTGCAGGTCAGTGTCACAGGTTGCTAACAGAAGAATCTTGTGACATCACCAGGGGCAAAAGAGATAGAACGCTACCTGCTAGAGGAGAGCACCTGCTAAAAGAAAACCTCCTCCTTTTCCTGCCTTCAGCACCTAGCAACTTCTGGGATTGACAGTCTACCTGCAATCAGGGCAACAGAGGTAAAGAGCTGCAGGGCCGACTCCGCAAAGTCCTGGATCCTGGGGAGAATAGCGCTGGGAGCTCCCTGGCTGTGTCTGTGTATGTGTGCGTGTGTGTGTGCGTGTATGTGTGTGTGCGCGCACACGCATCTGTTATGCATCGTAGAGAAACATGTTCCTGTGTGTGCGTGTGGGATTGATTGATTGGTGTGGGGCTTGTCTGCGGTGGGGTCCAAGACTCAGCATTCTGAGCCTCCTTCCCCCGCTCCCCACTCCATAATATTTCTTATACATAACCCTATCTATGTATTTATATAGTGCCTATCACCATAGGCCCTATCTTTCTAGGGATGCGAACGTGGGACCATGTGCTTGACAGCACACCTCCCAGCCCTGCCAGTCCCAGGAGGTGCCATTCCCCCCTCCCATTATAAAATATATATCTCTATATGCCACATATCTACACCCCATCTATCCAGGCAGGCATCTGCCCGTTGGGCCCTCACCCTGGAGCCACCCACGCTGCCCTTGCCTACCGCCAACGTCAGGCTGCCTGCCTCAGTGGGAAGCGGAACCAAGTGTCATGCACTTGGGGCTCCAGGTGCTGCTGACTCGAGGTAAGAGCACAGCTATCATCAGACCAAGTACTAGAAAAGAAATACACACCACTCCAATCACACACACGAGGAGAGAGACGGCTTGGTCCTCCCTCTAGCCCTGACACACGTGACTCGAGAGGAGGGAAGCAGAAGAGAAGAGGGACGCGTCCGGAAGGCCGGCCTTGGGGACTCCAGCTGTCCGCTGCGCCCGGTGGCCCACCTGGCCCGAGGGGTGGGGAGCCAGGGCACCAGGGCCACCACTAACTTAGAAGCACCCTGCTCCCCGCACCTTGGTTTGAAACCTAAAGGGAGGGGGGGTTGGGTTTTTGTTTTCTTAAAGAAAATCTGAAAACAAACATAATTATAACCAGAACCATAAGAATAATTATAACAAAAGGTGTCATCAGCCTCCCAGTATAAAACTGCAGCCTGTGGAGATGACCAAAAACATCATGTTCCAGGGGCCGGAAGCCGCCTTGTGCACAGAGGGTGGATGGTGGGGGCCTCATAAAAGAACACACAAAAAGCGACTTAGACAGGAAAGCACCAGTACGTTTTGTATGTTTTTTTATTTGCTCCAGGTGGGGTTTGAACTGTCACTTGCCCGCACTCTGGATTTTTTTCTGATCCCACCGCAAGGAGCCCTCAAATCGGCTAATGTGAGAAATTGGGAATGAAGACCCCTCATCCTGCCATCTTGCCGAGGGAGTCTCCTTTTCGAAAAAAAATCAAAAGGTTATTGCGTGAGCCTGGATGGACCCCACTCTCAGCTTTCCACGGTCCCAACCACCGAATCTCACCCCCTTTTTTGGCAGGGAGAAGCGGGAGCACGCTCTTCCCAAATTCTCCTCCTTCACCTGGTTAAACACCAAGGGGAAAAAAATACTCCACCATGGTCACCATTCACCTCCAAGCTGTCTCCCTTTCTCCATCCTTGGTTAAAACCCTTTGCACATAAGGCAACGTGGAAGCTGATGTTTTTACTCATCTCGCTGTTGTAAAGCACCATTATGAAGTCGGGTTGTACAGTAGTTAACAGTACCTTTTATATATATATCTCATATCTATCATATATATATAAACTGTAAACAAGAGGTAACAGCGGCTTCTAGAAACTGATTTTCTTCAAGGTTTCCTGTGTGGTAGGCACCTGAATACTGTATAAAAGGGTCTTGTGTGGTGTTCTCGTCTCTCTGCTGCTAGCTGGGTTGTGTTTTGCATGACCAGGAATGGTGCTGGCAAGACAGCTCAGTGGCTGGGAGGGAACTCTGCCGCCTGAGTGTCTATATTCTGTCCCCTGTTTGTGCTCCTATCTGATCAGGCTAGAGACAACAACAAAAAAAGATATATAGTAAAAAAAAAAACAAAAAAAATCCAATATATAGATTTCTATAGAATTTCCTTTTTTCCTTCTCTCCCATCTTTCCTCTGCAAGGTATGGTTACTATTGTTTGTTACTGATTTTTTTTTTTTTTGCTGCAATAAACCCTCTTGTTTCAGTCACAGCAAGAAACAAAAACCCAAACAAACAGAAAACCCCTCTGAAAAGAGTAGAAAACAAAAGGTTTGACCGAAAAAAAGGGGGTGGGGAGGGTGAGGGGGGAGCATGGTTTTGTTTTTAAATAGGACTGAAGATTAACATTGAAAAATCAGGAGATGATGTCCAACCCTTTTTGCAAGGCAAAGCCCTCCGGAATATCCGCCTCTGGGTTTTTTTGTTGTTTTAAATTCCTTTTTCTCTTCTGGGTGCTGATACTTCTCTCCATCCTCATGTGTTTTGCTGTGTTTTGTTTTTTTGTTTGTTTGTTTAGCTTTGTGTCACTACCTCGGTTTGCCCTCATGTCCCTTACACACAAGCAAAATATTCCTTCAGCGGAGCGAAGAGGTGGCGGATGACCGGCACGCTCCACGACCGGCCCAGCAGTCTCTGCCTCGCCAAGCGGCTCATGTTGGAGACATCGGTATAGTGGACAGGGAAGCCAAACACCCTGGGGAGAAAAGGCAGAGGGCAGGGGTGAGCGCTGGCCCCGGCGAATCCGCCGCATCTTCTGTCCTTAATAACCAAGTCCAGGCTTGGGCGCCCAGCTACTTTCTGTGGGTTTGAAGGTAAGTTAACATGACCGCTGCCTAGAGACGTACCACACAGTAGAAGCAAAGTTAGCGTTTGTGGAAAAACACCCCCACGACACGGTCTGCCTGAGACTGAGACCCACAGTGGCATTTCGAGTCTGTGTGTAATAAATATACATCCCTAGCATCTTCCGCCTAAGAGGAGGGAGAACTTTGTCTGCAAGAGGGCCTGACTCTTGCCTGACGCCAGAAGTTCCTGCTTGTGCCGGCTATTTGTGTGAACAGTCCCTTTGTCTGGCTAAATCGCAGTCACCCTGAGAATGAAGAGTCTGTCTAGCCTGTGAGTCCAGTCTGCACCAAGTCGGGGTGCTGAGGCTGTAAGGCCCACCTGGCCCCACACTGACCTGGTTTGCAAAGTACCTAAAATGAGTAACTGCAATGTTTCCTTGGAGTTTAGCAGGACCATGGGGAGCCAAGGCATCATGGGTCGGTTCCTAGACATCTCTTAATTTAAACCAGCCTTATAATGCACAGGACTCCTCCCCAGGAATCTGCCATCTGGGGAAATGTTTGGGAAAACCCACTGCTCATGGGGTATCTGCAGGGGATCCGAGCCTGGTACGGAGAGGCAGAGATCCCTCCTCCAAGACAGCAATCAGAACGCAGCACACAGCCCCAACACCAGCACGAATGGGTACCTTTCCATTTCAGTGCACCATAAGATGTCCTCTTTCTCATTCATGAAGACGGGGAAATGCTGGTCTTTGCCCTGCTTTATGGAGTTCGACCTAGTAGTAATGGTCCTCACTTTGCTGAACTAGAAGATGAGGAGAGGAAAAGAGAAATGAGCAGCCATCCGCTCCTGCCAGGCACCTGCCAGGGACCGGGGTCAGGCTCCAGTCGTGAGCCTCCCACAGACTCCACTGCTTTGCTCTCCTTCCTACTTTGAGGTCACCTGGCCATCCTTGGTCCAATCCCACTGGCCAAGGACTTGAGAGACAGCAGCTCCAGCCACTGTCCATCCTAAGTTTTCTAAGAACTGTTTGTTCCCCAGATGTAGTGACTTGCAGGCAAAAGGATGCCAACTTACTCAGGGGTGCAAAGACACCTCTGGGGTGCCAGCAGTCCTGGGAGATTTCTCCAGAGAGAAAAGGAGCTTGCACATCACAGGAAAATCTCTGCTCTGAAGACTCACGCAATAGGTCCCGGCCAAATAATTCAAAAGCCCTAAAAGATCCCAGGGACCTTGGGAAAGACTTCTTAGTGTCTGCCTCCCACAGGACCAGCAGACAATTTTCAACCAGGAAGGGCTGCAGGCCAGCAAGGATTCCTGACCCCTCTCCCTGCCCTCCAGGCTTTCCCTTGGACCCTCCCCCTCTGGCTAACTGGATGCACAACCCCCTAAGTTGCATTCACCACAGGTGGGACACAGCCCCAGGGCTGCTCCAGCTCATCCTGCCTCTGCCCTTTCTCCTTACCCCCAGCAGAGGGCTTTGACGCTGGGGCTAACCTTGGCTATTCTGCCATGCTCCAGACACTCCTGCAGCTCCAGCTTATCATTCACAGTGGATGCCAACGGCCTAGGAGGCAGAAGAGAGAGGGTAACAACAAACCAGAAGAGCAGAGATGCTCCCAGGGCACTGACCCAGCAGCCCTCTGCCTCACATCGGGAAGCAAAAAGAGGCCCCCTGTCACCCACACACGTTGAAAACCCCTTCAAACACACGCACATACACTGCAGCCGTTCACAGACATAAGTCCACCCAGCATTAATCCTTAAAGGTAAATTCAAACATGGTCTCAAGCTACAAATAAACAGATAACATATGCCGAGAGAGGGGAAAATCCAATTATTTTTATATCTTTTACTTAAAAATTGACAAAGCGAGTTTTGGCATGACAGAATGTTCTGTATTTCGACTATGGTGATGGTTACATGGATGTATACACTGGATGAAATTCACCGAACTGTACACCTTAAATGTACAGTTAACAAGACTTAAATTCTGCACAGTCCCCAGAAGACTAAAATTTCGTGACACTGAACGTGTCACACTTCTCATTGGGCAGACGAGATCACGAAATATCACCCTCTCTGCTGGCCTTTTCTGACATTTAGGACTACTGAAGAAAGGTTTCACATAGCAGTCTACCGTCTCTGCGTGGGAACCACCTGGGCCCGTGGTCAAATCACACCTCCAGACTCTTGCCTGTTTACGCACATAGACAGACACACTAATTGGTCCCACCAGGTAACTTTGCTCTTCCTAGAAGCTCGGAGGTCTAGAATTTTAGAGTTAGAAGAAATAGTTAAGAACAATCCCACAGGACCAAGGTCTGTCAGGAGACACTGAGTCAATGGCTCCATGAAAATACTCGCCAGTCCATTTTTACAATATGCACAGACATTTGGGGAACATTAGGGGGACACTGACAGTTTTCAGGTCAGCTACCCCACTGACCCATCTCCTTCCCATCAACAAGCCCTCGCAAAAGACAGCAGCTTTGCCAAAGAGGTATGATGCTGGGGAAGTTCCTGAAACTTCCTGCTAATGGCAGAGGGGCAGATTAGATGACTGAAGCCAAATTACATGATGTTCCTAATTAAGGGTCTACCAAGGTTTAAAAATACACACTCGAAACATTCTGGAAAATATTTCTCTTCATAATAGATATCTAGATTGGGAGGGTTGCCCCCTGCTTCTGAACTGCTAACTCTCAACCAGAATTCCTTTCTCCTCATCGACCTTTTTATAGTGCAATTACCACACTGAAGAAATCAAATTTTCCTCATTCTTTGACTTAAAAATCTCCCGTATCACTTAAACAAAGAGCATCCTTCTAAAAAAGGACCTGAAGCCAACAGGTGTGTGGAAAGTAAGTGGAGCAGTACCCTCAAACCTGCACGGTGCCCGCTGCTTCAAGGTCCTCTCTCCTGGAGCAGGATGTGGTCCGGCCTCCACCCTCTTTCCCATCCCCAGACACATCCTCCACAGCTTTACCTCAGGAGACTGGGGACCAGCTGACTCTAGATACATCACCAATATAGGAGAACCAACTATATAACTCAGCGGCTAGATGAGTCTTTCCGTGGAAAGAGAGTACTTTTTAAAGGTCCTATTTCGGACCACTAGTTCTCAGCTTCTCAGACAAGTATTTTCTACACCTTGATTCCCCTTCTTCCCAAGGAAAAGGAAACAAAGAACACGGCAGCACAGCAAGCTGGCCAGCGGGGGGCGGGGGGGGCTGGTCCCCCTCTTCTGGCCATCCTGCCTGCACACATCAACTCGCCGCCACCCCGGGTACGGAGCTCTCACCAACCTGTTCATACCAGGAAGGTTCCCCCAGAAGTAGCGGGCCCTGTGTGCAGCTGACACTTCTTTGGCATCAATCATCACAGGGTTGGACTATAAAACAGGAGAGAGATTGAAGATGAGCGAGAGAGGAATATTAGCGTGCCAGGAAATGCGCTAGGTCAGAGCCTTAAAGCCTTAAAGGCTCTTACTTCTCTCTCAGGAGGCCGCACACTGGGACAGCCTGAAGCCCCCAAGAAAGGCCAGAATTAAGCCTAGCTACTTCCACATGCTCTCACTGGAACATTCTAGACCAGCACAGTCCAACTGAACACGCTGCAATGATGGAAATGTTCTGTCTGCACCGTTCCATGTAGAAGCTGCCAGCCCACCAGCTGCAGATGGCTGACGAGTACTTGAAAGGAGGCTGGTGTGCCTGAGGAATGTTAATTTAAATACCGTATGTGATGGATGCCCACCACACTGGATCACACGACTCTAGCTCACCTGGAGGCTTTGAGAAAGTTCCAACGAGCGTGGATATCCTCACTGTATATCCAGATTATGAGCCAAATAGACGCCTGCTTGAATTTAGTCAGAACACCAGCTTGAGGTGTTACTGACCTCAAGACTCAGGAGCACAGGCTGGGGCTCCCAGACCGCCCACCCCGAGCATGACTCTGGCCGCAGAAATCCTCTGTGCATGGCCCAAACCGGGCTCAGAGCCAAGTTGGGACCCACAGCACAGGGAATAAGAACTGAGATAAGCCATGTTCTCTTCCCAGGTGCCGTAAGACATCCATCACGGTGCCAGGGAGCGAGGACAAGCCATTCTGGTTGGGAAAATTGATTTTGGCATCTCAAAGGTTCCCCCAGCAAAACACCACACAGAAGCCCAGGCCTGGGAGTCTGGCACTCCACGCTATTTGTGACAGTCAGGTCCTCCGGGCGCTGAGGCCCACACCCACATACCACCTCTTAGAGTGAGGCCATGGGTTTTTTCCGGGGTGGGCTTCCTCCCTGTCTACTTGGGAAGTTCAGAGCTTCCCAAACGGGCCCCTTGCAAAGCAGAAGTCACCAGTCCCCAGCTCCACAATGCAGATGAGACAGGGATAAAGCAGCAGTCCAAGGTAGAAGCCATTAGTGAGCTGGCCAAACCAAGGTTGCCGGCTATACCTCGAGAAATCGCGAGATGTCCCTCTTGTCACTAACGCCCATGGCCACCACATTCTCAAAGAGCCAGAAGAAGGGGCGATCATCTCCCTCCTTGGGCCGCGCATCATGCAGGAGGCGGTAGAACTCAAAGAAGAGCCGGCCAGTGCCCTCTGAGAGGTCGGAAGAGAAAGCCATCAGCTGGGGCTGTCTGCACGAGACAGTGGTGTGGCTCGGGCATGGGGAGGGCAAGGGAGGACAGGGTCATGGGGAGTAGCCGTCCCAGGGCAGAAATATCCAAGTAGGAAACTGACGTGCGGAAGCACCAGCTCAGCAGGCGGAGGGGCAAGCACAGCACCTACCGTAGAGCCCTTTGCGGGCAGGGTTGACGATGGAGAGATCATTGCAGGGACTGCCCCCAATCACCAGATCGAACGGGCCCCACTCCTGGATCTGGGAGGACAAAGGTAATGTGATGGGCCTGACGTCCGGGGACAGGCAGAAAGGAAGAGAGAAATTATCTGTGAATTTGGCAAAAAAAGTACTTTGGCATGGGAGAGACCCAGCTGCTCTGTACGCTCACCACACACACTTTCACATGTGTATCCAGACATCCATGCTACACACACACTGTGCAGCCACGGGCGAGTCACCGAGGCTCCCTGGGCTCAGCTTCCTAAATAACAAAGTGATGGGCCTGAACTGGACACTCTGAGGCCAGCAGAGAAACCAGTGTGCTCCCAGCAGGAATAACAGCCACTCAGGGGAACAGCGGCCCAGGCTGGGCAGCTAAACGGAAGGTATTTCGTGCCCTGTGCACCTTGGGTGGGGCGTCTGTGCTATCTGAACCTCTCCAAATGCCCTTCAGAGTGCCTGAGGGCCTGCAGCTCGGGGCAGATGTGGATAACTGGAAGGGCAGGGGGCTACTCAGGTTGGACCCCGCCAGAGCACCCCAGAAATGGAGGCTGGCAAAGCTGTTGCCAGCAGTACTGGGGGGCAGATGGGAACCTCACTGTAGCCCATGGCCTTCCACTCAAGAGGGCCCGGAAACCAGCCAGGGAGCAGCCTGAGCCCGAAAAGCCTGGCTCCCCAGTTCCCGCTGGAATCTGTCCCGACCCTCTCGAGACAAGCAGGGAAATGGAAGGGAGGGAAGAATAGAGGGTGGGATGGGGCCCGCAGCGCTGACATACATGCTTCTGCGTGACGCTGCGGACGTCCCCGACGTACATGATCTTCCCCTGGTGCCGCACCATGCCCACGGTGATGGAGTCCTCGCACACCTCGGAGGCGATGTAGCGATCCACCTGAATGCCCAAGTCCTTCAGCACCAGAAGCCCTGTGCCAGCCAGCAAAAAGCACAGTCACTGGGTCACCTCCCCGGCACCCTGGTCTTTGCAGGGGATCCCTCTGGCCAGCTGGACACATGGGTCAGTGACAGGCCCAAGCCCTACCCTGCCTAGAAAGCTTCAGGAAACTTCTGGATAAACTGGAGTATCAGTAACAAAGCCATCAAGGTTGTTACATCTAGGCTGTTTCACACCTAGTTTGATTGACTCAGAGGTGGTCAAGACAGGATAGCAGGGGGTTTCCGGAAGCAGGGAGAACGGGTGACTTTTGCTCTTTCTACATCTTGAATACACTCGTCCTTCCGTTACCCCTTATATCACCTCCTGCTGCAACTCGACCACCATCCATCAAGACTCAATGTAAATGCCGCCTGCTCTAAAAAGTTCCATCAGCTCCCCCCCACCTCAGCCCACCACCCCTAAGATGGCCTCCCCTCCTCTGAGAACCCCAACACTCAGCACCCACTCCACCTCAGAGCAGCGTGCAGGCCTAACACAGCCCTTCTCCTGGGCTGCAAATGTCTTCAGGACAGAGTGGGTGGTCACATTCAATGTGTTTCCTCCTAAGCTAACTACTCACCCTTCCTGACCAAGACCCCTCCACGAACGCTTGCTGAATTGAGTCAAGGAAACAGAACAAACCCTGAGAGAGCCATTCCCACTGCTCCCAACAGACCTCCCCACAAGGAGCTTGTACGGCTTCTTGGGGTGTGAAGTGGCTTAAGAAGGCTTTGAGGTTCTAGCCTGGGAAACCAAAGCTGTACATTAACTTCTCTAGGGCATTAGCACTGAGCTGGGAACAGAAGACAGACCTCTGGCCCGGGTGCCATCCCCACCCTGGCCCTTGGACCAAGGTCTCCAGGCCCAGCCTGCCCGTCTCCCTCTGGTCTCCTGGAGACAAGTTCTGAGGAAGGCTACTCCCTTCCTAAGGACTGAGAAGCCTCAGCCTCAGGGCAGGGCAGAGGGGTGGACATAAGTCAGTATTCACGTCAAGAACTACATGAAGTTAAAAAAAACTGGCTACACAGTGATCCAGTATTCTCTAAAAGTTGATGGTTTAAGTACACTAAGATGAATGTAAGGATGCTTGTCACAGCACTGCTCGTAACAGTGGGGGAAAAGTAAACAACCCAATAGGGGGTTCATTAAATACATTATGGTGCTTTCACGCCACAGAATCCTATGCAGCATTTATAAATAATGTAATTCTATGTTGATTGACACAAAAAAGTACCCATAATATCATAAATGAAAAGGCAAGTTATAAGACAGTATGCATTTTACTATTCTTTTATTTATCTACGTATGATTAAACACAAGCGCACAGAAAAAAAATCTAAAATTTAAAAATGTAAAAAGACATACACCAAAACACTAATTATAGGATTATGGGTGATTTAAATATTCTTTAAACTCTCTTGTTTATAGTTTGTTTTTCACTGCAACTTAGAACTGCCTATGTTTTTGTCTTGGTTGCCAAGTCTGTCCTTTGAGGTTTTGTGAAAATCTTCAATAATCTCTGACTAAGGACCGCTCCATCCGCTGCTGGAAAGCCTCCCCACCACCTCCCGTGCGACCCCATTAACGAAAGTGCCCACTGGATGTGCTGGTTTACCACTTATTTTACTTTTCATTGAACACAAAAGTTTCCTTCTTGGGGTGATATTTTAATAGTTGTAATGTTAACTGTTGTTTTGCTTTGCCAGAGTCATGCACACACAGCCCCCCAAACAGAGCTCCCATGTCCCAGGACAGGATGTCAGTGACTCTCACCTGTAGCAATTCCATCAAATAGAGACAGCACCCGGATAGGCTTCCTCTTCTCGGCTGGGACAGGTGGGTAAACCTTCGGAGGGTCCTGGGCAGGGAGCACAACAGGCCGGGTGAGTGTGCAGGAGTGTCCTCCAGACCTGCACCCGGAGCCGGCCTCCCAGCCACCTGTGAGCACACACCCCACCGCAGCTCGGGCCCTGCCGCCGCCCTGGTCTGGGCCCCCGACCAACTGAAGCACTCTCACTTCTGGGGACACTCTTCTCTGGTTCTGGAAAGATGCTCTGGGCCCGGCACCCAGCACTCACAAATTCCTGGTCGTGGTTATTGGCGAAGAACATCTGGAGCCGAGAGGGCCAGTCGTCCCGCCGCCGCAGCAGCCCGTAGGTGCCCTTGTGCCCACACATGTAGCAGTTCCAGGGGTCTTCCTTAATGGCTGCCTGGGCAGCTCCCGGCCCCACCAAGAGATCCACACACTCCACGCAAAAGCACCTGGAAGGAAGCCCAGCAGAGCAGAGGGGCCTCTCAGTCCTGGGTCGGTCCGGACGCAGCGAGGCTGCGGCCGCAGTACAGGGCTGAATGGGCAGCGAGAGCCCCGGAACTGGGCAAGGAGGGCGGGCGGCTGCGCTACAGTCTGGGGCCCCTCACCTGCAGCAATTGTTGTTCCCGCACATGAGCACCTCGCGCCCCCCGCAGCAGATGGTGCAGTAGGACTGGTAGCCGTCATCATCGTACTGGTACGCACACTCCAGGAAGCAGTTCTAGGGAGCAGGGCGGAGGCTCAGAGACCACCAGGCAGCACCCAGGCCTGCCAGGGTGAAGGCAGGCTTTGAACCCAGCTTCTGGGCTCTCGCCTTGGGACCTTGACACAGCCCTGGTAACACGACATTGCCACCCATCCAGCCAGGGTCCAGCCCAGACCACGGATCTGGGAAGGGGACACCACATCCCCCGACCCACTGCCATGGATAGAACTGAGGTGGCCTGCACCACCTGGTGACCCCCCCCCGCACCCAGAGCACAGCAACCCACCCACCAGGCAGCCTGTCTCCCCTCACTTCACACTACTAGCCGTGACGTGGTGAGCCCACCCCTGGGGACGAGAAGGGGGCAAGGATCTCTCAGGGGAAAATAACAGCAAGCCAAATGCTTGCAACCCAAGGGTCCATTTTATCAGGACTCTGCTTCAAGAGCAAACCTTGGAGTCCACCTCACAGCTACCCCAGGTGCCTGCAGCCCAGAGGCCAGGGGGTGTGGTCAGCCAGGGCCCAGGTTCACCCTCAGCCTTGTCTCCAGGGAGACCGGGTGTGCCCCTACCTTGCAGTTTTGGCACATTCCTCCGATGAAAAGAGGGTGTTCCAGGGTGACATTGAGGCTGCCACAAGAGATACAGATGTCTGGAAAGCAGAAGAAGCAGAGTGTCACTCAAGGCCCCCACCACCACCTCAGGCCAAAGGCCAGCTTCAGAAAAGTTATAAAAAGGGGCCTGCTGGAGAAGCAGCCAGAAGAGAAGGTGGGAAGGAGTCTGGGAGGCGCCCCAGGGAACAGGAAGGCAGCCTGGCCCCCTTCTCAGGAGCCCACTCATCTCCCAGAGCGGCAATGAAGCCTGCCAGGGAAGGCCTGATCCAAGGACAGGAATCCGCGGTAAGAACGGGGCCCCAACCCTGAGTTACTCTGGAGATGTCCCTGGGCAGACGGCCCTTAAGTCCTGGGCCCCTGCCCCCATCCTTCCTGACCCAGAGAGCCCTGAGCTGGACACACCATCACCAGGTAAGGGAGACACATGGGATGAGGTAAGGACCACCAAATGAGGGCAGGTGAGGAAAGGTAAAAGGCCAAGTTCAATCAAATCCAAAAGGGGCCACCCTTCTCTGACCCACTCGAGTGTCCCAAACCCTACTGAGAGCCCACACCATTGTTAGGGAAGATAGTGGCACGAGTAAGACAGATGTGCGTGAAGCCAGCTGGAGGTGGTGGGACATGCAGGGCAGGCCCTATCACCGGGTACTGACGTCCCACGTCATCACACCTTTCTCAGTACCTGTGCTCCTCTGCCAGCCACCACATTAGGGGCCAAGCCCTCACACCCGCCCTATGGGCAAGACTACTGACTTCCCAGGGTCAACGCCCAGCTGCCCCCTCGGGACTCACCTTCGATGTTCCGGCACTTCTGCCGCACCTCGTACACCAGCCGCTCTGCGGGGGGAGGAGAGCCCAGCATCAGAGGAGGCCTCAAGGGTCACGCCCTGTCCTCTGAATGCTGGTCTCGCCTGCCACTCTCTCCAGAGCCAGGCCAACTACCTCTTGTGCGTTCATCAATGATCTCCTTGACCTTGGGCTTCTCAGTTGTGCTCTTTCGGGGCTTTTTGGCTGGTGGGGGTGGCGCATAGGCAGCTGCCTCGGGTTCAACCCACATGTCTGTGTAAACTTCTTTGTAGGGGTTCTTCTCCTCTGGATCAGGAAAGCAGGTGATGAGGTCACAGTTACCGGTTGACAAGGAATCCCAGCTCCCTCCCCCGTACCATCTACCTACAATAGGGTGCGGCCGGGTGCCCAACTTGTTCCTAGCGCCCACCTCTCCGGTGCCAGCACGCCAACGGGGAGCAGGTTATTCAGAGTCCCAGAGGTGCACTGCCCCTACCGCGACCCCAGGGAGAAGGAGACTGAGGCCAACCCCACTGGGCACCTGGCTGGAGGCCGTGGCAGCTCTCGGTCAGCATGGCTCTCCCAGCCCGGGCACGGAGCTGCTGGTGCACCTGCATTTACCTTCTGGTGGCTCCAGGCCCTTGGGGCCAGAGGGCTGGAACCCCCCCAGGGCCCACTCGATCATCTGTTTGTTCTGCACCTCCACGGCCTTGGCAGTGTCGCTCTCGTCGTTGTCATGGCACACCGGGAACAGCTTCCCCGCGCGGCTGCTGGCCACCTGGAGGGCGACACATGGAGGCTGTCAGGACAGGCCAGAGGGCAGACTCCAAGAGGAGCAAAGGTGGGCTCAGGCAGGAGGTGGGAGAAGGTGCAGGAAGGGGTCAAGTAAGGGGAAAAGGAGGCAAAGGGCCTTGCAGGCAGACCCTCTGCCCAGGCCTAACCCCTGCGCTCCAGCTATAAGACCAACAGTGGTCCCTTCCATCTAAGCTCCCGCTTCTGAGTCCCTCCGAGGGGCACTCACCTGCAGGACTTCGTAGATGGCCTTGCGGTACATGGGCTGCTTGTTGTAGGTGGCCTGGTGGAAAGCACTGCAGAAGGAGCTCAGCGGCATCAGCTTCTCCACACACACCTGGAGGCACAACCCCACCCTCGTTTGCGCCTCCTTCCACACACATCAAGCACCCACCACAGGCCTGGCACGGTCAGGGGTCAGGGCATTAAGACCCAGCCTATGCCCTTGAGAAAACCGGACACACTGATACATAATTATATGATGCAAAGAAGGAGTCCTGCCCAAGCGTGGGGGAGGACCTGCATGCAGGTGGGAAGGGCTTCTGGATAAGGGGCTCCCAGAAGGCAAAACTAACTCGGCAAGCATCCTAACTCTCTGAGCGGAACCTCATTCTCTCCAGGGCTTCTTCCAATCACACATACACAGAGTGGGGGCAAGCAGAGCCCCTTTCTACCAGCCCAACTCTAAACCCTGCCCCCAGCCGAAACCAGAAGCTCTGGGACCAGAACCCCTTCCTCCCCGTGTCAAGCTACCGCCAAACCCCCATAACTCACCACTGAGAACTTGCCGTCTCCGAACCACATGACCCATCGGGTGCCTTCCGCTGCTCGGCTCCGGCCCGTCATCCACCAAGACACGATGCGGCCTGGCCACCAGGAGAAGCCCCGCAGTTTCCCCCACACCAGCTCCCCAATGCCAAAGCCCCGGCCGTCCTGGAGCCCCAAGGAGCAGAAGTCATTACACGGTGGTCACGAGACCCTGCCGCCCGGATTCCCCCCAAAGCAACCCCAGCCCTGGGCATCTGAGGGTCAGGACAGCCTGGAGGGGGCTCCATCTGCACAGACAGAGCAAGACTGGAGAGAAAAAGAGGCCTGGGGTCGGGAGGAGCTGGACGAGGCAGTTGCAGAAGCCAGCTGCTCACCTCGTACTCTGGCTCATCGTCAGCTGCTTTGGTGGCATTCTTGTCCCCGGCATCGGCCCCCACGGGCTCAGGTGTGGTGGCCACAGTGGGGGACGCAGGGTCGGTGGGCTGCTGCACAGCGGGAGGACTGGCCTCCTCCACCTTCTGAGACTCGGTGGACCCCTGGTTTTCTTCAACAGCATTCATTACTGCAATCACCTTGGCTTTCTTCTCAGCCTGGGGAAACAAGGAACAGAAGTTACCTTGGCCTGACACTCAGGGGGCTCTTCTCAGTCTCTCTGTGGTTGGAGACAGTGAGAGAAGGTAAGGGGCTGGAGAGAAGAGTTCTTCCCTCGTCAACCCAAGTGCTTGCCTCAGAAAACAGAAAGATTTGAAGTTGAGAGGTGAACTCAAATCACTTGGCTCAGTTCCAGCCTTCTCTTCTGCCTCTTAGGTAATCTTCCTCAATTGTCAGCATCATCAGTTGCCCACCCTCTGATACGGAAAGATTCATTCTATCCAGACACTAGTCACGCACCCTAGGTTAGACACAGACCTCGGCTCTATCCTGTCCTGTCTTACTCCCCATTCTAGAAATGGATCCTCTCATCTGTTTCTCCAGTTTCCCTGGGCAATCAACCCTTTCTATTCCTAAGTTCCGGACCACAATTCTAGTTTTGTTGTGATGCCTAATGATGAAATCACTGTTTTGTATTTAAAGAGCACGGTTCCTTCCCCAGCTGCTCGACCACCACCAAACGCCCCACAAGAGCTTGCCTGCTCCCATGCTCATGTGCCGTTTTGGAGTTCTTAGGATCACATCTAACGTAAGCTGTCCCCAGATTAAACTCCTTCTTTCTACGTGCATCTTCCAGACCCATAAATACATTTATTCTCTCAACAGTTATTTACTAAGGCCATGGTATAGCCAAGCATCCTCTCTGCCATCCCACTGACAAATTAATTTAGACCCAAGCATGCTCCCACCTGAACAGCCTCCATCCTTTCACACCTCCCCCTCATCTTTCAGTCTATGACTATGACCCGCATGCCCATTCCTTCTCAAAACTTGCTCCAGAATTGCTCTCACCCTACTGAGGAGAATAAAAGCCTTGATACGTAGCTCAGAGGGCCATTCAACCTAATCTCACCCTCATCTCACCCCGGCTACTGAATTGAGGACCCATGGCCCTCAAACTTCAAGGCTCCGCAGCGGTTTGCAGCACACCAGATTCAGAGGGGAGAAAAGTCTCACCTTCAACGTGCCTTTCAGCATGAAGCTTTCCCCCAGAGACTACAACCGTGACTATAAACCCAACCTCAAAATTAAGCTACATTCCTGTCTTAGTCTTGCAACTAATTACTGCTGACTTTGGAGCAGTCCCCTCTCTTCCAAGTTGCTCCAACCTAAAAAGGTGTTTGATCTGAAGGATTTCTGTTAACTTTTTCTGACTGGTTTAAGAATCTAATGTATATACGTTCCAAGAATTCCAAGGACTTTACAAAGCCTGTCAATGCGCCCTCGGATCCCAGGGTCCCAGGTTAAGAACCTTTAAGCTCAATGGTCTCCTGTCTTGTAGCTTCATTTTACTTTGTTCAATCTTCAAGTCTGCATCCTAGCCGCAGACCAAAACTGCTTCTTGAGTTGATTCCTAAAACACTGAGGATGGAAGTCCTAGTTCTTTCTCTGAATCAACAAATTCTAAAATGGGTTAATACATTCTTTTCCCCCAGCCCACAAACAGCTGGGAGAATGAGCTCCAGGAGGCCAGGGAGGCCGGAGCGGAAGAATGCAGAGTAATTGCTCCTCCTTCCAAGCCCGACTCTCACCTGGGGGACTGTGCTCCACCCCTTCCTAAAATCAATTATCTACCACCTTCTCCCTAGGTGCGTCTAGGTGTCCACTCTGCCCCGTAGAGGAGAGGAGGGTTGTCAGCTGCAGCAGCACTGTCTCAGTGCCAGACCCACTCAGAGACACGCCATGCCTAGCAGTCTCTGCTCCCTTCCTTCCACCATGCCTCTGCGAACTTCAGGCATGGTTAAGGATAGAGACCAGGGTGTTGCTCTGGATGACCCAAAGACTCCATCTCCAAGGGTGATGCGCCCCCCGCAGCCAGAGCAAGGTGTGTAGGTGGCAGAGGGCAGAGGGGGCGAGGAGCCTTCTGGGGAAAGGAGTCGAAGTCACTTCCACAGCAAGCAGCATCAGGTGGGTGCCGGGCTCCCCCCAGCCTCCCTCAGTCTAGGAGGGAGTCGTGCTTGACACCACCCTCCTTACTCCCCCTCAGCCCCTTTGTCTCTCTTCTCAACCCCTCCACAGTGAGTTCCTGAACATTATTCTTCCCCCACAACTTTCCCCAGCTTGTCAGGTGCTGCTGCTGATGGCTGTTAAGCACCCCCAACCCAGTAGGTGCAAGAGAGCCCGCACCCAGCACGGTTTTGGCAGGCGGAGGAGGAGGAAGGGGCCTCCATCGGGACTAGGCCAGCAGGGGTGGGGGAAGGAAGAAGGGGGTGGGTTAGCAGCAGGAGGCAAGAGGAAAGGGGAAGAAGGGGCAGAGAGGGTGGCTGGGTGGGGGAGGGGCTCATTAGAATAGTCTTGCCTAGGGCAGTGCGGGAAAGCCTTTTTCCACTTTCACGCCAACCCTCCTCCCTAGGCAGACAATAGGAGAAATAAGGGTTAACTCTGGGCTTGGGCTTTTGGGCTAAAGGCTCTTACCCCCTATCTCAGTTCAGAAGGTCCCACCCCACAGGAGCCAAGAGATTGGGCAGGATCGGGAAGACACTACACCAGCCCCCACTACGGCGGCTCAAGGAGGCCACTTGGTCTGCAGTTTGTTCAGACTGTAAAGCCACTGGTAACTCCACTCTGATGGAGGCAAGGCCTCCCCATCCAGTCTCATCTCTTTAGGCAGCTGTCCCACCTCCACCTCCCTCTGCGACTCAGGCTGCTTCCCGTTCCAAAGGTCAGAGGTCCAGGGACCCACGCGGACTCCCGCTGGTGCAGCAGATCTCAGGCTGTCCCAGGCATCTCTCCCATCACAGGCCGGCATCAGGCTGTGCCCCACGGCACCCGCTTAAGTGCCACAGCCCCCTGTCAGGGTTGCACTGCTCCCTTCTACCCCAACACCGCTTCTTTCTGGTGGCCTGATGGTGGTTCCCAGGAACACGCAGGAGAGGAAACTGTCCCTCTCAAGAAGCCGCAAGGTTGGCACGGCCTGAGGACAGCGTAGTCCACCAGCCAGGAACACAGGTCAGCAAGGAAATGCCAAAAACCCATCTGCCAACCAGCTCAGCAAAACTGCTGCTTCCAGCCCAACTCCACTGCCGGGGCCTGCCCCCCAGCCTTCATTGACCACTGCCCCAGGCTCACACCAGGGCTGCTACACCTGGCCCCTGAACGGCCAGGTCCCACCTGAGCGCAGGGAGGAGTGGAGCTTGGGGTTCCAGAGGAGGGAGTGGGTGGGACAGCAGTAACTCAGCATCTCCAGAACTCAGGCCCGGCAGAGGAGCCAGCTCCTGCGGGCCGGGTAGGCAGACTTGACTCTTCTGAAACCCAGAGGGCTGCAGGCCCAGAGATCCTCCCACCGGCCCCAGCCGCCTCCCCGCCCCCAGTTTCCCCAGGGCTCCGTCCAGGAACCTACCCATAAGGCCAGGTGCAGCCCCTCTGTGGTCCGGCTCAGGTGTGAGCCCCGGCCCTGAAGCTCTGTAAGTAGCTGCCCGTCTTGGGGGAGGGGAAGGGGGCGATGGGGCTGGGGGGCGGAGGGGGCCGAGAGAGGAGGGGGGAGGGGGGGATGGTGGGGGGGGAGGGGATTTGAACATTTTTCTGCTGTA